ATAAAATTATGAAAAAAATGTGATATGCACTTAATTTCTTAATTTGTAAGTGCCCCCCCCCCCCCCCCCCCCACGCAACGCGCTACTATAAACGTGCTAGGTGTCGCTCTACAACTAATGTCTACCCTAAGTTATCGATCTTGATTCGTATCCCTGTCTTAAGCTGTAGGTTTTGCGAGATATTCGAGACGAATAATTACTTGGTGATAGCATCGCTACTGGATGCTGAGGGGACACACGTTAGTGATGAAATCGATGTTAAAATTTTGACTGTGCCTTAGGCTGGGGGTAGGGGTGATTTTTTAATGGAGAAAATATATTTTGATGGCTGTTTTTTAGTTGGCTTCCAGAAATAGAGATATGAAATGGATTAATCAGGGTAGCCACATTCTCAGACGTTATAATTAGTTAAGTTTTACATCATCTTTAGAGATACTAATTGTGTTTTAGAACCACTCGCCACTGGTCTCATGTCAACTGGTCGTTGGCGTTTTGCTAGGAGTACTGTCCAGCTATGTGGTCATCATCAAGTGGCATATACATTCACAAGGCATTATCGTATTGTTTTTCTTTAGCTTTTGTTTCTGTTAGGGCAATAGTAAGGGTCACGTGTGACCCATTGGTCAGATGAAGCCATGTACTGGGTAGTGCTGAGCCTGCCAATTGAGCTCAGAAATAAAACATCATAAGTTACCGACACCGTGCAGTTATATTATTTATGTATATTAGTAGATTTCACCCAAAGTAATGCCGGTTCGTAGGTAGCGTCCTCGGCAAAGTTCAAGGCTTGTGTATTTTGAAACGTTCAACTCCAATGTTTGAAACGTTCACATTTTGAGATGTTCAACTCCTATGTTTCAAATGATAACGTTTTCAAACGTTGACGTTTTCAAATGTTAACTCCAATGTTTGAAGCGACAGCTGGTCCCAGCTTTGTGCTAACTACCAGGTGTCAAAACGTCATCACCATTATTACCCGCCTGACTTGTCTACGGCCCTCGCTCCAGCCTCGTCCTCCACTGACTCGCGGCCATTGAGAAAGTAACGAGTGGTTTTATTGTGCAGCCCAACATCTTTTGTTCGCCGGTACAACTCACCGACAGCAGACGTGTGATTAATCTAATCCACCCCTCACTGCAGGTTGTGCCGCTCCCCCCCCCCCCCTAAACACGATCCCATCATTCCCTCATCATTCCCTCATCCCCTCGTCATTCCCTCGTTAACCTCAAGGGACATGCAGTAAGTCATCAGCTGCTCTTGCCCGCAAGCTGGGAAATATCTTCGCCGCGCTGATCCATCTGGGAATTTCCGAACCAAATGAGAAGCTGCGGCAACAAAAGCGGGAATTTCCGATTCAAATATAGTCGAGGTCTACCGCCTAGAGCACATTACATTGTATAATTCATTCGAAATTCAAATGTTTTTTTTTTTTTACCAACCGGACTTGCTTACCCCATCTTTAGACCAGTTCACTTTTATTTACGCCATCACTTTTAAATACAGTGTCACGACACTTGACTCAATTAACTCATTTACTTAATTAAATCGTAATATTTTTTTTAAAATGTGGATCTTACAGGGGTGCCACTTTTCCGGGATATCCCGGATTTCCGGATTCGAGAATCATATTTTTTTCCCTTTCCGGATTCGCAAGATTAGAGTTTGAAAATTTCCGGGTTTGCATTTTAAAAAAAAAATTTAGATCGTTTTAAGCTTGAAAATTTTGGCATTGTAAAAATCGTTTTTATCGCCAACACTCCCGCTAATGGCCTTTTCCGAAAAAAATGAATAGTAAATGACGTCAGCAACAATCTCACGCGTGCGCCAAGGACCAAATACAAATCGGCTGTATCAGATGGGTGAGGCTGTAGACGAAACTTTTTGATGTCATTCGTGGTGTGGTTGTCTGGCTATTTATGACGATATGGGTTGGGGGTAAAACTCGTATTATTTACGTGATGTCATCAATGGGATACCGCTAGGCTGTGTAATAAAAACAACTAAAGCCTACAAGTACTAGATCAAGCTCACTAGCATCGCCGATGGTCTTTAAAAAAAAAAACCGAAAGATTTGGCTCCGATAAAAAAAAAATAATTTTTTTTTTTGTATTTGGTATTACCAAAAGAAAAGAAAAAAAACTATTTCAAGGACTATTTTATGTATTTTACCACCTCTTACCCGCTTCTTCAAGGTCGCGCTGACCGTAAGACCTACGTCATGAGACCACGCAAACACAGTCTGAGTCGTGTCTCTCGGTCAAGGCAGTTCTACAAGTACTTGCGCTGTTTAATTTTAACGTGGTTATTTTTTTTAATAAGGGACTTCTTCTAGATTCAAGAAAAAAAAACTAGAACTGCATCGTTTTATATCATTAAACAAAATATGTAGGCCTGCTATAATTTAGTTACACGTCATTGAAATGTTTAAAAAACCTTGAAGTACCGTGTCTGAGAAAATAGCCGCTATCACTGCCCCCTCCCAACCGCTTGTAAAAAAAAAAAATCAGCTTTTCACTTATTGGGGCGGCTACATCTCTGACATGAGTATTACTAGCGTAGTTACTTCTAAAATTATTTTTAAAATTAACTTAATTCTGTTATTTCGCGATATGGACTTAAAACTTCCACGATATTTCTTCACGTCATCATGTATATCAATGGTGGGGGCGTTGGGGTCGTTCATAAATGACGTCACACTCGTAAGGGGAGGGGGGTTCGTAATTTTGTCATGAGGGGGAGGGGTTCAGATGGTGTCACATCACACTTTTGCATTATCCAAAAGCTATGTTAGAAAACTAATTTTAGCCGTTATTTCGCGTTTTAGAATATTGTTTCAATAAAGTGTAATAGGAATTGATTAAAATACTCTATGTTGACAGAGGTCAGACAAGATTTTTGGAAAATATCGTATTTTAAGAAAAATTCGACTGCAATTTTTAGGGGGGGGGGTGTAGGCTGAGGTGTGACGTCATTTTAGAGGGCGGGGTCTGGCTTTTTGTGACAGATATGTGACCGAGGTGAGGTGGGAGGTAAAAATCGTCAAAAAAGCGTGACATCATTTATGGATGACCCCATTGGTGGTTGATTGGGAAAACAGGGTTTTAGGTTTTTGTTGTGGCTGTTAATAATTAAAGCCTTGAATAGCTACAGTAAGTCAACCCTGTATTTTAGTACAGTGACAATCTTATTAGGGGTCTGCATATAGTGCGCTTATTATTCAATAACAAGACATAGAGGTTAGCAATTGGCTGACTACACACTTTAAATCAAGCTAGGAAGTTCTCAAAAATTAAATACAGTAATGTTATAAATGCTGGCTGGGAGGGGGGGGGGGGAGTTCTACAATAGCACATTATGGGGTAGGCCTAGAGATGGGTGGGACTAACATTGTAAACTAATTTTGTTGTAAGCACAATCCTTTAAAGATTAATTTTTATTTCAAGCTTGTTACAAAGAAAATAAATCCATTTTAAAGGAATGTAAATTGAACATAATATGAATCAAATGTCTCAAAAAATAATGAAATAATAGTCCATTTTATTTTGAAATTCCGCGCGAAATTAAGTTTCAGGGTTTCAAAAATTTCAAATTTTAGTTTCAGGATTGGTAAAATTTTGGGATTCATTTTCAGGATTCACTTAGAAAATGAGTGGCACCCCTGATCTTATAAAGCCTGACTTAAAACAAAGCTCCGCACATGGTCTCGCCTTAGTCACCACACATTGCACACCAAGCGCCACTACATATTGCCGCTACGCAGTGCCACTACATATTACTACAGTCACAAGGCGAGAATGAGTTGTGCGCACCATACCGAGTTACCATCTAATGGAGTGACACCATTTTATGTTATGGGCGGGGGGGGGGGGGGGGGTGACACCGAGACAAAAATAGTTTATTGGCCGAGGAATTCACTTCTGTCCTGTTTATGTAACTATTGAAATCATATCGATATTTAAGCACCGGATGTCACCCGACCTAGTGACGCCACTACCCCCCCCCCCCAATGAGAGCCACTACCTGAAGCCACTACCCGCCAATGAAGACGTATCTGAAGCTATCGTGTCTCGAGATAGCCGTCTCACGTGTACCCCCCATCCCCGCCCTCAGACCCGCCGCTACTGTATTAGTAGATGAAACGCCCTCGCTCCACCGGCTCGTGCGGGATGGCAAATCTAATCTCCCGCCAGACGGTATCGAAGCTTTCAAATCAATCCGCCAGCTCGTGTAGGGCGAGGTTTGTATTTCGACTCCAGACATCGATCTTGCCCAGAAAAAAAAGCGCCCTAAAGCCGGCGCCCGAAAAAACAAATCCCCAAATCTCTCTTTAAAATCCAAGCTTGATGTTGAAATAATTCCTCGCTAGAATTATCAGCTCGTCGTAGTCTCGGTGTTTGTAGCCATCTCTTGGGCGAGTTGCGCAGGGAGGTAATTAAGTTTACTGTTGCGCTTCTTTCCTGGATAGTCCGTGGTTGGTTTTTTTAAAGTTTTAAGACAAACTTGTCTGTGGGTTCTGGTCAGGTGGTGTGTTGGTCATTTTATTTCTGAGTGGTTGGGTCAGTTGTTCGTACGTTTTAAGGGTCATTTGTTTGCTGGGTCAACTTTTGTATTGGTCATCACTTGTACTGATCAGTGGCCCGCGAGACATCTGCGTTGTGGGTCAAGGGATATGTGGGTCATCGTAAGGGATTGTTGGTCAGACATTACTACGGGTCAGGGGTCTGTGGGTCATAAGCTTTGTGGGTCATCTGTATATCACATTATGTTTTCTTCGGGTCATTTTCACATTCTTGATGCTAATTAATTAGATGAATGAACAAGATGTATATCAATTAATTAGATGAATGAACACGATGTATTTTTATTAATTAGATGAATGTACAAAATGTATGTTAATTAATTAGATCTCATGTACTATGTGCCTGATTTAAATAAGAGTACAGTACACCAGAAAATAAATGTACCTGAATGATAACGTTGCTTATTTCTTCCATCCACAGATACGATTACAAAAAACTTTTGTATAATTCAACGTTTTGTCTGGTACCAAGGGGCAGACGTCTTGGTTCTTTCAGGTGAGTTGCCCAGGTGTTTGAAAGTTTTTGTTTGGTCAGATGGCACTGAGTTGTACAGGTGTTTGAAAGTTTTTGTTTGGTCAGTTGGCACCAGGGGTTCTTATACACATTTTTCAGCGTGAGGGGGGAGGGGGTGGCTTAAAATTTCCTTTCTGGGGCGGACACTGACTTCAGCATATATGTATATATATATATATATATATATATATATATATATATATATATATATATATATATATATATATATATATATATATATATATATATATATATATATATATATATATATATATTCGTCTGGGGGTATTGACCATCTGAAAAGATGCCTGAAAGATACTCTGGTTGGGATATAATTACAAGTGCATCCTTACAAGGAAGGGGGGAGGGGGGGGTCACAACCCATACTGTGAGTCTCACACAACCCACTGTGAGGGTCAAACAACCCTCATCCCACTGTCTGGCTGTGAGGGGGGGGGGGGTGTCACACAACTACTACCCCCGCTTTAAAAAAACCCCAGTTCACCGTAAAAAAAAATCATTCTATTAGCAACTTTACCGTCAGTGTAGTTTAAGCACACAATCATCCACCTTACCAACAGTATACCCCACTCTAGCACTGCTAAACTCAAAATAAACTCGTACTTTTTTTATGTAATATTACGTTACGGCAAGGTACGTCTTCAGACGTTCTGTATACGTTACCGCCTGACGTTTCACTCTCTGCCGGTAAGGTGTGTACGAAGCCGGTAAGATAGATTTGACACACAAATGTAAAAAAAAATGGGAAATTTAAAATCGTAAACGTACAGGTAGTGATTTACTTAGGCATGTGGTGCTTCAATTTTTGAAAAATAAACACCATAAAGTTTTATAAGGTTTTAATCATAAAATCATTTCATTACATCTTAGTGTCAAGGTTTTTCAACTGTAATAGATTATGTAATAATCCGTAATTTTTTGTTTCCTTTTTATATTTGATTGCAGTAAAATATTTTTTTTATATCAATGTCTTTATCTATGATTCATGTTTTGCCACTATGAGCTGCTTAGCGCATATCTACGCCTTGCTTTCCTCTTAAGTATGCGCTAGTTCACTCTTCACTCCATGCTTCACTCCATGCTTCACTCTTCACTCCATGCTTCACTCCATGGTTCACTCTTCACTCCATACTTCACTCCATGCTTCATTCTTCACTCCATGCTTCATTCTTCACTCCATGCTTCACTCTTCACTCCATGGTTCACTCTTCACTCCATGCTTCACTCCATGCTTCACTCTTCACTCCATGCTTCACTCCATGGTTCACTCTTCACTCCATACTTCACTCCATGCTTCATTCTTCGCTCCATGCTTCATTCTTCACTCCATGCTTCACTCTTCACTCCATGCTTCACTCTTCACTCCATGCTTCACTCTTCACTTCATGCTTCACTCTTCACTCCATGCTTCACTCTTCACTCCATGCTTCACTCTTCACTCCATGCTTCACTCTTCACTCCATGCTTCACTCTTCACTCCATGCTTCACTCTTCACTCCATGCTTCACTCTTCACTCCATGCTTCACTCTTCACTCCATACTTCACTCCATGCTTCATTCTTCACTCCATGCTTCATTCTTCACTCCATGCTTCACTCTTCACTCCATGGTTCACTCTTCACTCCATGCTTCACTCCATGCTTCACTCTTCACTCCATGCTTCACTCCATGGTTCACTCTTCACTCCATACTTCACTCCATGCTTCATTCTTCGCTCCATGCTTCATTCTTCACTCCATGCTTCACTCTTCACTCCATGCTTCACTCTTCACTCCATGCTTCACTCTTCACTCCATGCTTCACTCTTCACTCCATGCTTCACTCTTCACTCCATGCTTCACTCTTCACTCCATGCTTCACTCTTCACTCCATGCTTCACTCTTCACTCCATGCTTCACTCTTCACTCCATGCTTCACTCTTCACTCCATGCTTCACTCTTCACCCCATGCTTCACTCTTCACCCCCTGCTTCACTCTTCACTCCATGCTTCACTCTTCACTCCATGCTTCACTCTTCACTCCATGCTTCACTCTTCACTCCACGCTTCACTCTTCACTCCACGCTTCACTCTTCACTCCATGCTTCACTCTTCACTCCACGCTTCACTCTTCACTCCACGCTTCACTCTTCACTCAATGCTTCACTCTTCACTCCATGCTTCACTCTTCACTCCATGCTTCACTCTTCACTCCATGCTTCACTCCATGCTTCACTCTTCACTCCATGCTTCACTCTTCACTCCATGCTTCACTCTTCACTCCATGCTTCACTCTTCACTCCATGCTTCACTCTTCACTCCATGCTTCACTCCATGCTTCACTCTTCACTCCATGCTTCACTCTTCACTCCATGCTTCACTCTTCACTCCATGCTTCACTCTTCACTCCATGCTTCACTCTTCACTCCATGCTTAACTCTTCACTCCATGCTTCACTCCATGCTTCACTCCATGCTTCACTCTTCACTCCATGCTTCACTTTTCACTCCATGCTTCACTCTTCACTCCATGCTTCACTCCATGCTTCACTCTTCACTCCATGCTTCACTTTTCACTCCATGCTTCACTCTTCACTCCATGCTTCACTCTTCACTCCATGCTTCACTCCATGCTTCACTCTTCACTCCATGCTTCACTCCATGCTTCACTCTTCACTCCATGCTTCACTCTTCACTCCATGCTTCACTCTTCACTCCATGCTTCACTCTTCACTCCATGCTTCACTCTTCACTCAATGCTTCACTCCATGCTTCACTCTTCACTCCTTGCTTCACTCTTCACTCAATGCTTCACTCCATGCTTCACTCCTCACACCTCACCGCTCAGTGCTCACGTTCCATCCAGCTCGCTACACTTGAGTTCTCGCTCCCAGTTCTTCTGATCCCAGGCCGATGGTCGAGCGAGTGTTGACTTAGTCGCCGAGTCGATAACAAACACACCACCACAGGCACGGGCTCAGATCCCACTCGAGCAGCACCACCCTGGTCTCGCTGTTCCTGCACGCTCTCCATGCACTCGTCGTTAGCCCCGAGGGTGGGGTGGGGGGGGGGGTGCGGGGTTTCTTAGCACTCAGCTTTTTATTTAAAAATAGTATCTAGACCTCTTTCTCACGTTGTAGTGTTTGTGTGGCCCATCTTTTAACACCCGCCGCTCCTTTCCCCACCCCACTCAACCACCCCTCACATTAATGGTAGTCGTGTGATACTTTCAATCGAATCACATGACACGCTTTGTATAATGATCTCACCTCGTCTGAACGTCGGTAGTCATAAGACTTTTCACACTTGACGTCCCGGACTATCCAAACCCTGACGTCACGAACTATCCTAACTCTGACGTCACGAAATATCCTATCCCTGACGTCACGAACTATCCTAACCCTGACGTCACGAACTATCCTATCCCTGACGTCACGAACTATCCTATCCCTGACGTCACGAACTATCCTATCCCTGACGTCACGAACTATCCTATCCCTGACGTCACGAACTATCCTATCCCTGACGTCACGAACTATCCTATCCCTGACGTCAGGGACTATCCTATCCCTGACGTCACGAACTATCCTATCCCTGACGTCAGGGACTATCCTATCCCTGACTTCACGGACTATCTAAACCCTGACGTCACGAACTATCCTAACCCTGACGTCACGAACTATCCTATCCCTGACGTCACGAACTATCCTATCCCTGACGTCACGAACTATCCTATCCCTGACGTCACGAACTATCCTATCCCTGACGTCACGGACTATCTAAACCCTGACGTCACGGACTGTCAAACCCTTGATTGTACAACGATTCGGCCAAGTTTTACCGACCACTGTGGGCCGCAATACTACTCCTACTTTCAAATATTAAAGCATTCCGTAATACCGTAAACATTCTAATTGGCTTAAAAGAGACACATGGGCCACACCTTGCACAGCAGCTAGGGGGACGGGCATCTAGGCGCACAAAGTAACTGAATATTTAAAAAAAAATAAGATCAACCTTTTCAAATACCAAGTAACTACAGTTTATAGACCAACTTAAAAACCACGTGGTTTTGAGAGTTGTTAGATTTGGGTTAAAAAACTATTTGGATTAGAGAGTTTTAGACTTGACTTAAAACCATTGGGGACAGACAGAGAGTTGAAACAAGAAACTGCCCGGACGTATACGGTCCATCCATTAGTCCAGCTGTCTTAAACACGGCGTCATTTCCCGTCACCCGACCTTGACCAGTAATTAAATTGACCTCTCTCGTCAACCAGTACCCATAATTCACTCAGCTAGGTCCGGCAGTGACGTGTACATCAGTGTGGCCATTCAGCTTGCCGGCTCCACTGGGACTTCCGGTCATTTTATGTCCAGAAAGCCATATTTTGAGCCCAGGAGAGGCGCGCTTAATGGACACTGGATCTCACTCGCAAACCCACCCCTCCGACACTCGCATGTCCCATTAGTTTCAATATTGGACTTGTCACTTTTTTTGGGGTCTCACTTGTTTCTTGGTGACATTTTTTCTTGGTCTCGTTTTTTCCTTGGTCTCATTTTTTTGTTGGTCGCGTTTGTCTATTGGTCTCACTTTTTTCTCATTAACAGACTTTTTGGTATTATGTTTTTGAATGTGTTTTCCTCTGACCACTTACTGACCAATCGCTAGTCCTAACACAACTTCATACATGTAGAAGAAAATGGCGACACAGCTGACCCTTAGTTCACATCAGGATGTTTGTTGCCTCGTGCTTGACCCACTAGGTGTATTATCCGAATAGTGAGTCTAACTGACCACAAGTACTTTTGTTGATGTCCACTCTGCTCACTTGTGTGTTCGACACTGTCCGAGCGGTTGTCTGTCCACTCTATTGCTCTAACATGACCAACGAGCGAGCCGTGAGTAGATAACCTAACCAAAACAGAGGAGGGTGGCTCAGTCTTATGTGACCATACTGACGTCACAGCATGTGTCCACTGGGTGTCCAGTGAGTTGGGGCACTGTCCTGTGATGTGAACCACACGGGGTCAGCTTACATGAAGATGTCACGTGACAGCACTCGTCACATTGTCGGGACATCTATAACAGAGGGGTGCACGTAGACTGTCCGTCGTTGAATTCGGCCCGGCCCCATATAACAGGGGTTGACAAAAGCCTGTCTTTGAATTGTATTTCATATAACAGGTTGGCTGTACACACAGCCCATCATTAAATCCGGTCTTACATAATAGACGGGATGGCTGATACATGGACGACTGACTAAAGCCTGCCATTGAATTGTGTTTCATTTAAGAATGGGGATACACTTTGCGTGTTCTAATTATACGCATGGAGGCGTTGATAACAAGTGTAAATAATTGTTTAAAAAATCTCCGGGTGAGTTTGTCTTGAATGTTATTCTGGCACGAACACGTGACTTCAATACTATCACATGGGCGGATCACATACTCACCCTCCCCCTCCCGGGGGGCGGATCATATACAAAAATCATCTTCACCCCGTCCCACACTTAACAAATAACCCCTTACCCTATTCCCGATTATCATAAGCACCCCCCCCCCCGCTATTTTACCCTAGTGGATCATGTACCCCCCCCCCCCCCCCCCCCCGGTGTATTACATACCCACACAACCTCACAATTTCCCAAGCGGATCTCATATACACCCTACCTTCACCCTACCCCCAAACTGATCAAACAACCTCTTACCCCACCCCTGGTAAATCATATACACCCCTCCCTCCTCACCCCTAGCGCGACGCTTGGCAGGCGGAAAATAGATTTTTTTAATGCAAGAAGACAAGGGCAGATAACCACACTGACAGTTTACATAAGCTGGAAATCCATTATTGCATGGAGCAGAGCAAGTATTGGCCGGGCTGGAGACCTCGGCTCCAGGCTCGTGGTTTGATCACGTTGTTGACAGGCTGATACACGAGAGGTAACCAGAGACGGCACATGGCCTGGGTTCATTCACTTGGAGGGTGGGTTTTACTGGCATGTTCTTGGTGCAGTTGTAGGGTGGATTTTACTGGCATGTTCTTGGTTCACTCGTAGGGTGGGATGTAGGTTTTACTGACGTTCTTGGTTCAGTTGGAGGGTGGGCTGTGGTTTTTACTGGCATGTTCTTAAGGAAGTTGTAGGCAGGGCTGTGGGTTTTACTGACGTTTTTGGTTCAGTTGTATGTTGGGATGTGGCTTTTGCTGACGTTCTTGATTCAGTTGTAGGGTTGGCTGTGGGTTTAAGTGACATGCTCTTGACTCAAGGTGTGCTGTCAGTTTGTAGGTTTTAGTGACAGCTCTTGAGTTAGCTTGATGCAGTTGTTAAAAGGTATAATTTTGAAAAAAAAAGAAAGCCGAATCAGTAAACGGTTTTTAATTAATTATTTATCTGACGTACTGTATAGACAATGTCCAGAATGTCCACTTGACTCGTATTACTAAAGTCAGAAGTGACGCCAACAAGCTATTTTGGGTGGTTGTGGTTTAAAAAGCGATATCTATCATAGGAAGCGATGTATATACACGTGATGTCAGGATTAGGGTTGGATTAAGATCACAGGTTATGATTAGAGGCTCCGGTGTTTAAAAAGTGGTCGATGTGTTAAGCTGTGATAGACAAGAATAAGCTTTGAATGGCAACCGCTTCACGGTGCATCTCGTTGTTACTGAGATGTTACAGCCCTCGACATGTAGCTCGTCGTGTCTAGAAAGTACCAACTCTGTCCATCTATCTGTACACGTTCTTACACGTGCCTGCCGTTATAGTTTGCATATCCTGCCATGACAGCTATACATATCCTGCCTTGACAGCTATACATATCCTGACAGCTAAACATATCCTGTTCTGACAGCTATACATATCCTGCCATGACAGTTATACATATCCTGCCCTGACAGCTATACATATCCTGTCCTGACAGCTATACATAACCTGTCCTGACAGCTATACATATCCTGCCTATACAGCTATACATATACTGCCATGACAGCTATACATATCCTGCCCTGACAGCTATACATACCCAGACCTGACAGCTATACATATCCTGCCTTGACAGCTATACATTTCTCCTTAGTTTGCCTGCTGGAACTATTAATAAATTCTTTAACTCTGTCAACGGTATCGATACTTCATCTTGTGAATACATGTCCTGATGTTGTTCAATCCCCTGGGAATCGATTTCTTAATGAATATTTATTTTTGTTTTCCAGCCACAGTATTGATATTAATAAGCCGTTGAGTGATTTTGACGTTTTACACTACACTTTAAATAATTTAATTAAAATTCAATTACCTGTTTTTTAAAACCAGCTTTAATTTACTTTTTTTTCCCCCTCTCAGGTTTTTAGAAAGTTTGCAAGCGACTTGTATACCTGTGCTGTTGAGTAACGGATACGAACTTCCGTTTTCGGAGGTCATTGACTGGAACAGCGCTGTCGTGTGGGCGGACGAGAGGCTGTTGCTACAGGTACGTACAGGCTGTCTCGTCAGTACTGATACAGGTACGTACAGGCTGTCTCGTCAATACTGATACAGGTACGTACAGGCTGTCTCGTCAATACTGATACAGGTACGTACAGGCTGTCTCGTCAATATTGATACAGGTACGTACAGGTTGGCTCGTCGATACTGATACAGGTACACTTCATTGCATGTCCAGGTATACCTCACTTTTAGGAACACTTCACTTATAGGTATACTTCATATCAAGGTATACTACACCTTCCGTCCAGGTATTTCTCATCTTAAGTCCAGGTACACTTTATCTACGTAACTTCCGGGTATACCTCATGTCCAGGTATACTTCAAGACTACGTACATTTCACCTGTACATTTCACCTGTACACTTCACATGTACACTCCATCTGTACAATCCACCTGTACACCTGTACATTTCACATGCCCAACGCCTTCACGTCTTATGACTGTAATCAAAACCCTGATTAATCCCCCCTCCTCCCCCTCCCCCCCGCACACACACACCCACAATTATCACATTTGCACCTTGACAGTCAGCTGTATAATTTTTCTTTTAAATTAACGTTTATTATAGTTTTCAATAATTACTCTCCTATTTGTTTTGTTCACTATAATCCCCTACCTCGAACATGTTCTACGTTTCGCCATCAAGTCTTCACCCTACATCTCTATCACTAACTAGTCGCTACCCAGAATAAACCCACTTAACGCCCCCGTTTGTACGTAGATCACCATCCACCCCTCCCGGTAACACAGCTAATCTTGGTAGGACAGCATCAGGAGACGAGGGGGGTGGCGAGGGCACGGCGGACGGGGGAGACTGAGCAGTAATTTCATTAGGCGCCGCAAGGTGAAGGCACTTCTTAACATGGGGCTCTGATTGTGACAGCAGCTAAATGAGTTATTTCCCCTGCCGGCAGCAATTGATTGGAGATTGCTTTTAATATCTCGTCAAAGATGTTGCTTCTAGGGGGAGCGGGGGGGGGGGGGTGCCGTCCCTTTATTTAGTGATCACGTGTCTACTCAGTAAATAATTAAGGGGAGTTAATTCAAATGAAAACTTATGGCAGACGATAATTATCAACATCATGCCTGGCTTAATTGTGTATTATTATTTTTTTTAATTTTTTTTACATTTATTTATCCCGTTCTTTATTGCTTTATGTCCTTCTATTTTCCTCTTCCTCATATAAATAGTTTTATTTAAAAAAACATTTAAATGCATGTTTTGAGTACCCCGTGCTTTAATGACGTGTCACTATCGTAGATGTTGCTGTGTTTCTCTTGTGTTGAATGTACTCGACACATCATCACTTGACAAACACAAACTATGAACCCGACTCCCGCCCAATTTAATTAGCATCAGACACCACTTCATTAGTAGACACTTGGACCTGTCACTATAAATAGCTGTCACGCTGTCCTCCTTATTGTCCAAAGTCTTCAGTACGCAATGACTCACACATACCCCCCCCCCCCCAATAGTGTATGTCTATGACTCACACATAACCCCCCAAACACAATAGTGTATGTCTATGTAAATGTGTATGATTAAACTATCCTCGGCCGTGTTGTCATACCACCCCCCCCCCCATACACACAATAGAGTATGTCTATGTAAATTTGTATGACTTAACCACCTCGGCCGTGCTGATATCGTACTACCCCCCCCCCCCCCCACGAGTTGTTTCTTTGACCAAAAAATACGAGCTCACAGCTTCTCACCTCAGCGGCTGGAGATTTCCATATCCTTTCTACTCCATGTCTGATTGACGTCTGGGATAAGAGACGTCTGATTGAATCCCAGACACCAACATTTCATTATTTCTAGAACCTTCCAACACTCGCGCCCGCCCCACCCTCGCTTGCTCTCTCGTACGTCCTCTTCAATTACATTGCCGTTATTTTTCGCGTTTACTCGCCCGGGCCCTGACAATAAATTCTGCTCCTTGCTATTCACACGCGGCAAGATGCTATTCACACGGCGAAAAGATGCTATTCACACGAAGGGATGGCTTTTGTTAAGCCAAGCCCCAGTCAATCTGTAAGACGGAGCGTCCATTCGTTTTTCATTGGGCCATTCGAGCCACCCCCCCCCCCCCCCCCCCCCACATACACACACACACACACACACACACACATATATATATATATATATGGAGAGATATAAATATATATGGAGAGATATAGATATAGGCCTATATAGCAATCAGTCCACGCTTAAGGCCGATATGTTAGCCAGGATAACAAGAAAGGAGTATGGCTTGGCCACTTGTGTCACCATGGTTACAGTAATCAGGGCCACTTCTAGGGGTCTTCGAGACTCTAGGGTCGGCTAAGGCCACACTGGAGACCCGGACTACTCTAAGGCTGACCTGGTCAGCCACTGACCGCTGTTTAGTCCGCCGGTCTATACACAAGTTCGGTCGATGGGTCCGCTGTTTCCTCTTATTATTTCTGGCATCCCCCGCCCTCCCCCACCCTCCTTTCCATCATTACCACCTCAGACTTGAAGCCCAGCATGCCATGTATGGATTTATGGCCGTCCATCATTTACTGACCCTAATGAGTACCCTCACGCCTCGGGTGACCGTACTCACAATGGTCATTTAAAACATGGGTGGGTTTTTTTTTTTTTTTAAATAATTACTTGGCTTCTGTAATAGTAGAAAGTGTTTTTTAATGATAACAATAAAATGAAAATATATATTGTGGTAATAATGATAATAATAAAATTAATAATACTTATTGTTATATTCTTCTATTTACTCATTAATATATGTATCCGTAGCCATAAGCAATTGTTTAATATCATTTATCCTTAAGTTATGCTCGTGGTTGAATGTGAGGTCAGGTTCGGTCCATTCAGTGCATGCCAATTCAGCCCCCGTGGCAATCCGCCACCCGAGCAAATATTCTGATGGTCAGTGACTCACCGTCTCATTTCTCCTAATGCGTGCTCGAGACTGTCCTACCCTCGCCCTGCCCTCGTTCACTGCGGCCGCCGAGTACTGTCCTCACTAGGGATATTAAAGCGTTTTAGGAGCGGAGAGTATTGTTGCTATTTATAGACGCGTCTGCCGTCATTTGCCTTTCAAAACACACGTCTTGCTTAGTTGGATAAACTGTAGCATTATGGGAGCGCGGAAATGAAGGAAATTAATTAGAAGCGATGGCTTTGTAATACGTTATGAATAATGGTTTAGTAATCATTTGGGTGCTTTCGTATTGTATGGCGATAGGGTAAGGATGATTGCTGAAGATGGGGTTAGGGTCTAGCATGAATATTCTGGTCTAAATATGAGTGGTTCTCAACCTTTAGATCTCAATCTTTAGATATCTTGGTGATAAGTATTAGAGTGCGTTTTTTAATTGACGACATTCATATAATCGGCCTCCTTGTTCAGCTAACTTTCTAGGGACTTTTTTGTTAACTTTTTTGGGACTTTTTTGTTAACTTTCTTGGGACCTTTTTGTTAACTTTCTAGGGACTTTTTTGTTAACTTTCTTGGGACTTTTTTGTTAACTTTCTAGGGACTTTTTTGTTAACTTTCTAGGAACTTTTTTGTTAACTTTCTAGGGACTTTTTTGTTAACTTTCTAGGGACTTTTTTGTTAACTTTCTTGGGACTTTTTATCTTTCTTGGAGCTTTTTTGTTAACTTTCTTTGGACTTTTAACTTGTTTTAAAATTCTAAAATAAACCAATCAAGACATTTTAATCTATTGTTTAAATCAATTAGGAAATTAAATGTAAATCTAAAATCACTTCGATTGAAATAAAACCTGACTTATTGCCCTTGGAGAGGGCGTACCCATCGTTTAAAGGTCGGGGGGAGGGGGTAGACATTCTTTAACGGCCTAGACAGCTGTAGTCATCCGACAGTCAGATAGATAAAATTAATTAACTCGTTAAAAAATTATCGCATTCAATACAACCGAGTCTGCACTTTGCAGGTGAGTAGAAAAACAAAAAGGAAAAAAAAAACACGAGCAAGCAACCTGTTCCAATCACGCCACGTGTTCTATTTTTAGCCGGCTGTGATTGCTCTCACAGCAGAAGAAGCCTCCACCCCGGGTAGATCTGGTTTTTTTTTGTGTTGCTGCCTGTGACTGCACAGACGCTCTCGTCAATCGCTCAACAAAGATAACACATCCCGACTCGGGGGCCGTGACGTCAAATTGAGACGGTGAAGGCTTTATGGGGGTTGAAATAGCTTTTTACATAAATGTTGCCTTTGCCTTTCTACATAAATGTTGCCTTTGTCTCTCCTATCCTCTACATAAATGTTGCCTTTGTCTCTCCTATCCTCTACATAAATGTTGCCTTTGTCTCTCCTATCCTCTACATAAATGTTGCCTTTGCCTCTCTACATAAATGTTGCATTTGTCTCTCCTATCCTCTACATAAATGTTGCCTTTGTCTCTCCTATCCTCTACATAAATGTTGCCTTTGTCTCTCCTATCCTCTACATAAATGTTGACTTTGTTTCTCCTATCCTCTACATAAATGTTGCCTTTGTCTCTCCTATCCTCTACATAAATGTTGACTTTGTTTCTCCTATCCTCTACATAAATGTTGACTTTGTCTCTCCTATCTTCTACATAAATTTTGCCTTTGTCTCTCCTATCCTCTACATAAATGTTGCCTTTGTCTCTCCTATCCTCTACATAAATTTTGACTAACTGTCCAGTTGACTTGACTGTCCAGTTGACTTGACTGTCCAGTTGGCCTGATTGTCGAATTTACTTGACTGTCGAATTTACTTGACTCTCGAATTGACTTGACTGTCCAGTTGACTTGACTGTCCAGTTGGCCTGATTGTCGAATTGACTTGACTGTCCAGTTGACTTGACTGTCCAGTTGACTTGACTGTCCAGTTGGCCTGACTGTCCAGTTGACTTGACTGTCCAGTTGGCCTGATTGTCGAATTGACTTGACTGTCGAATTGACTTGACTGTCCAGTTGACTTGACTGTCCAGTTGGCCTG